CCGCACTGGTTTCATTACGTAACGCATTTTTAGCCTAATCAGAACAGACTTAATTTATTGAAACGAGCAACAATACAAAAGAAAAAGTGCTATCTACTTACAGAGAAACAATACTATTTATTATAAACATTAATTGTTATGTTTTTACATTTCGAAACACTTATTCCAGATGAGTAAACATGTTGTTGAAACTGACAATTCAAAATTGTCAACAATCATTTCAAAATATTTTTATAAATGTCAAATAGACTTTTTTAAAGAAATTGATTTTTTAGTAATTTTTAGCAGTCGTACACTGCGAAAACTACCTAAAATTTAGTCATATTATCTAGAATTTTTAGTCAAAAATTAGCTAACTACTACTACTAGTTATAAAAACTAATTCTATTTCGATAATTTAAGATAGATGAATGATCGAAAAATGTATCTTATAAATACCTAATCAAATTACTTTCATTATATAATATTAATAGATGTTTTATTACTTCAATATAGACGTCGTACCTAAATTTTTCACTGTAATATCGTCGATGTGTAGTCAAAATATCCCATTGTTGGTAGGTGTTATTACAACATTGTTTTGATGTATTATATAATAATATATTTATATTAACTACTGCAAATAGTTGAATTTAATATTGACGATAGTTCGTTTAGCAAAATATTGTAAATCTTTTGATCATTTTTTGTGTTTAAAATGTCTATTAATGTTTATTATTCATATCCGTTTCACTAGATACTTGATCAAGATATATCTATAAAGAAAACAAGTGTACATATATAGATATAACAAATATATTTTCAAGTATATTGTAGTAATTACACTAAATATCAACAATTATTTTTCTTCAACTATAGAAATACATATAGAGAATACATATCAATAACATAAACTATAAAAGAACTACATATCATTTTTCATTTGAAGGGCTTAGTGTGAAACAATGACAAGTCACATTTTTTTCAAATATGACTTTTGCTTATTTTCGAGTTTTACAAAAGTATAATAAGTCACGGAATAAATAGTTTGAAAATATTCCAAAGCATAGATAGCACCACAAATTCGTAGTAATGATCTTGCGTTGCTACATACGCATTTGTTTTGTGAAAATAAACAATGACAAGTCACACAAAAATTGTAACGCGTCGCGACTTAAGTGCATGTGAATCGAATAATTTTAATATAATGAACAGTGAAATGAGTGATGTAGATTCTCCAGTCGATGATAGTGGTAAATGACAAATCAACAGGTAAATGACTTTTTTCATTTATGTGGCATGTTATTGTATTGCCATTGTTAATTCTATGCAAGCAAATTGGGTTGTCATTGGGTGGCTAGTTTAGTATTGCTTTTTCAATATAGAACGATGGTATAAAAGAATCAGATGGGGAAACAGGGAGCAGAACATTAAAACGGATTAGGGCTGATACACCTGAACCTGCCCCTAGAAGTAGATGGAAACACCGAAAAGAAGACACATATCCACGATCAAAAAGAAAAATAAGAAGAAATCTGGGACAGCAGTATACTAGTGACAAAACCAAAAAGACTGTTGCAGCTCGGGAGTTAGGACCTCCTTGTG